CGTGGCTGAAGTTCTTCATTTTGAGGTCCAAAATGCCCCACAGTGCTCTCCCAGGCATAGGCACCCCTCCCTGCCACAAACCGAATTTCCCCCAACACAGACCTGCCAGGAGCTGCTGCACATTCCTGCCTTGCTCTTGGGGGATCCTCACCAACTCCCCAAAAGTCAGCACAGCCTACGACCAACTCCTTGCCCCCTCTGGTGCTCCCCCAGCTCCCACAAACACCTCATCGATACTCACAAGCTGCCGTGCATTCACAGCTATTTCGCAGAGCCCAGGCGCTCTTCCCAGCACAGCTAGGGCTCAGCCCCTGGGCTGCAGCCCACAGGACCTCACCGACACACTCTGTCATTCGTTCTCTGCACGCCAGAGCCAAATCTGACCCACGTGCAACTGATCCCGGGAGCAGGAGCTGATCTGCGGTGCCTGGGATCCGCTCCCAGCACCGTATCTTTCTGAAACTGGGGAAAAACAGGGCAGGTGCCCCATGAACCCTCGGCTCCATCTGCAGCTCATTGCTGGATCCATTTATCAGCTCATTCCGCGTGAACGACCTTGAGAAAATCCACTGACCCAGGACAGTAGGAGACTTTCCTAGACATCTGCCAACACCTAAATCTGCAATTTATGGAGACTCTCAGCTAAATTATAAAACAAGACAATTTCATTTCTGTCCATTACAGCTACAATATTCTCCCCTCATCCCCCCTGTGTCGTTCCCCCCCTCCCACAGAGAATAATTAATACTGCACCGTTCTCCTGAGCCTGCAGGCAGGTGCAGGCACCTCTGCTGAGCTCGAAGTAGCACACTGAAGTTAACATCTCTCCAGCCAGCTTCTCAGATAGTGGGGGGCTGTAAGCCTTGGGTTTGTGCACCCGGGAAGGGATGTAGCATAGCCTCCCCCGGAATAAAAAAGCCCCAAAGGATGGAGCCTGGGAGAAGTACAGAAGAAAGACACGCTCCCCACACCAGCATCTGACAAGTTGCATTCTCACCTCAGGTTCATCAAAGAGCTGCCGAGGACAGGGAAGGGAAAGTTTTCTCAGAAAGTTCCCAAAGGGAAGCAGATAGCAACGCCGAGCCAAGCCCCCAGACTGCCCTGCCCAGCCCTTCAGGGACGAGTTATTTGGGTGGTTGCTGGTGTCTGCTTTCCTCCTCTGCAGCCATCGCATCTCCCCGCAGGTCCCAGCCCTGCCTGCCTAGGAGGCCCAGACGCTTCCTGGATGGTTCAAGATAAAACCTTATGCTGTTAGCAAAACAAACTAGGAGGCTGTGAGAGCCAAGGCTGGCACAGGGCTGAAACCGCCAAAGCCAGAACCACTGGTTTCCCCAGATGATCTGAGCTCTCCCAGCGCCAGAGCTCCTCTTCTCCAGCAGCCTGGTGTGGCCGGTTGGAGCCCCTGGGGAAGAGGTGAAGCTGGTGTGACAGACGCAGGGATGTCTGCTCCAGTTTGAGAGAAATGAAATGAGAAAGAGGAAGGGGTGGCCAGGGGAGGGGGTCCCTGAGATGTGATGCGTGGCTGGGGGGAGGGGGCTGTAGGACGGCCCCATCCAGGGCCTGGGGAAGGGGTGCCTACCAGGATCCATACTCTCTCCAGCCCACTGGAGAAAAGAGCCCGAGCAAGCCCCACAGCAGCAGCATCACCCCCAGCCTGTCAGCCGGGGGAGCACCTTGCTTCGCGTGCTCTCCCTCGGCACTTCTGACGCACCAAGGCTCCATCTGCAACCGTGTGCGTCCCCATTCCAGCACTGCGGCGGGCGAGACGCACGCGTCCTCCAGCCCTCGCTGGCAGGATTTGGGTCATGCTAGTCAGGCACCGCATGGCAAGGATCTGCTCCTCCACGCGCTGGCTTTGGGACATGGGTGGATCTCAGAAGGACATGCGGATGAACCAGGAGAAGCTCTGCAGGGAATTGTTGGGGTGGAAGAAAGCTAGGCTGGCTGGTCCATGTCTCAGACTGCCTCCATGTCCACACACGTACATGTGTGTGTGTACGTACATGCACGTGTGGTGAAACGTGTCCTGGAGGGACTTGTCTCCTTACAGGGAGTCTTCCTCCAGGCAGCGACTGGAGATGAGAGATGTCAGTCTGGGGAGGGGGGCTCAGTACCACGAGGCCTTTGAACTGGCCGCACTGCGGCATGGTGGAGGGCTTGTGGAGACGGCTGGCCCACGTGAGCATCAGGTCTGGGTGTTCCGGGTTCTGGGTGCTCCGGTGGCCACGGACATGGAAAATACGCCTGGGAAATTGCTGGGAGCAAGAGCATCTTCAAGGACAGCAGGGAAAATAAGGCACAACGGGTCAAAAATAGAAAACTTTATTGAAGTCAAATCCAACAGGGCAGTTGAGCTCAGCCCCATGGCAGGAGCCCAGGCTGCCGCTCACTGGGGTACAAAGGAGGGAGCAGGGGTCTCCACAGGGCACAGAGGGTACAGCACAGTGGGGGAGTGGGTGGTCCTCACCCACAGGGCCCCAGGAAGAAGGCAAAGCCACAAGCACTTGTCCCCCCTCTCCCTCCCTAGGTAGTTAAGGATAGACCGGACAGGCGCCAAAGCAGAGACGTGGTGCAAGCTAACTGGCCAGACAGCCAGAGGAAAGAGGGTCCTGCAAGCTCCGGGCTCATCCCACAAACTCCTGGGACGGCTCCAAGCTCCAGTGCACACCAGCGAGCAGCCCTTCCCAGTCCGCAGCCAAGACCTACTTCCGCCCTGCCCCGCAGACAGCAGAAACCCCCGCCTGGACCAAGAGCAGCGACCCGACCGCAGCACGCAGCAGAGACCCCAGTGCCCCACTCCTCCAGCTCCGAGCACGAGACCCAGCCCCAGCCCTGGCACGCAGCTGGACCCGTGCCGCCTGGAGGAAGCACCCCGGCTGCCAGGATCTGCTCTCCTCCTCCTCAGTGGCCGCAGCGCAGCTCCTGCAGACCCACAGCTCCCGCAGCCTGATGCTCGCGCTAAGGGAAGCCCGGTTTTCACTGCGCTGGCTACGGCGGAGGGCCCAAGCCTTGGGGAAGCCAGAGCCTGAGCCTGGGAGAAAGGCAGAGCTTTGCTCCTCCATCTAGCCCCACCTGCCTGGGCAGCCACAGTGGGTGCAGAACTCCCTTTCAGGGTGCTTTGCGAAGGGATGGTGAAAGGTTCAGCCGCACCAGCAGAGCCGGGCTGGCAACGTCAAGGCTAGCGCCTTCCTCGCTGCTCCCCGCACAGGGGCAGGGCTGGAAATCGGCTGCTCAGAGCTCTGGCAGGAGCAGGAGCAGTTTCTTCGCCCCACAAGTCAGCCCAAGTGGAGGGACGGATGGGAGGGTGGGCATTGCCCTGCTCGGTGCTCTTAGCACCGGTCTCCATAGGGGACCCGGGTGGGTGGGATTCCCTACCTGGAGCTCCACATGCGGAGGTACATGCATGCAGCACCCTTCGCATCACCGTCACCCAGGCAGTGCCGCCAGGACCCAGCCCTGGGTGCTCTGACAAGGGCTCTGACAGTTTTTGGCTTCCCGCCGGCCACCGTCCCCATCCCCTTCCCTCCCCATAACCAGGCTCCATGGCTGGGCTCCGGGGTAGTCCTCTGCCAGCCCCCCAGGCCACGCATGCAGGGCTGGGGGCCAGTCCACGCTCACTCCCACACCTCTGTCCAGATGGCTCCCCGGTGCAGGGGGGGGGCAGCTTGC